CAATGACGACTACTCAATTTTTTTTTTTCAAATAAACTTGTACAGCGAAAATTACAGTGTCGTAGTCCTTGAAATTAAATGCCAACTAATGATATTTCATTTCAGGTTTGCGGGTACAGTATAAAGAAGTTTTGAATGCCAAGAGGGTTGAGCCACGCGCAGCTAATGGTCTTTCTTTTCTTTGAGTTTTAGAAAACGAAGATTTTAGTAAACCTGAATTTACCAATGAGACAAGAAACTTGATCAAATTCGGGGAAGTTAACAATTTGGACGAGTCCGAAGTCATGCACCCTGACAACTGTCAAAGTAGTTGTAAAGAAAGAACATGGAATAAAATCATTTTACATACACCAAATAGAAAAGTATCAGTAAAGGATCTCTAGTGTGTCTACAAGACCAGTCGTAGAGAAACAATTAAAACCGTGCAGGAATCCATCGACATACGCAGGTGCGGAGCCAAGATTTTTTTTTTTTTTTTTTGTAAAATCATGATGGTTTTGTGAGTTTACATGTCTTAAATTTTAATTGAACTATCGAGTAAATTTTAAAAATTTAATAACATGAAAAATATTTTTTGTGCTGAAAAATATTTTTTGTTCTTTAGAATACCGTTGGCCAAGGTATTGTCAAACAAAAAACAACTTATTTATTCATTTTTCAACATATTTTCTTAATCTCGTCTGACTTTAATTTTGCATTTTGACACCTTTTTGCCAAATTATGAATGATGAGATTAAAAAAATTCAACCCACAAAACATTAGTCTCTACCAATCACGTGTACGCGTTTAGCATGTTTTTTTGGGGTCAACTAATTGTTTTGCCCAATAACCAGAGGTCAATCAATAAAGGTACACTACGTATGCGTACACACTCGCATGAAATAAGCATTATTGTAACCAACAGCCTTATTTTCCTTCCCAATAAATCCACCATACCCGGCAATCGCAATTAACGCACACACGAGTGATCGTACCGTTACTGAAACGTTTAATTATTTCTAACAGGAATTAACACGTGTACATGCATTGTTTTTGTTCACCTTTGCTAACCACAACACAGCCTCTCATACCACTGTGACCGAACGGCGTTAATTTTCATTTTTAGACGACCCTCCGTCCGCATTTTTCGAAGTCTTCAACCAGAGTATTATTACGGTGAAGCCGCTAGGTGAGTCATCAAAATCACGGGTGTACATTCGTGTGAGAATAATATATACCGATCGAATTTAATTGCAGAACTGCTGTTGGAAAATTCCCCGGTCCCGTCGATCCACTCGTTCGGTGAGTAATCGAGGCACATGGGAAGGTGATTTTCTTTTTATTTACCAAATAACGATTCTTTAAATTTCACCGAAACGCATTTCAGATCCGCTAAACATCGAAAATCCGGCGATCGTATCGGATGAGAATTTATCGACCCTGGAACCCATCGTGGACAACATCCCTACCACCAGCAGCACCAGCACCGACGACTCGAAGGACTTGTCGGTCGTGGACGACGCCTACCTCGTCATCTACTGTTGCACGTGCGACAAGGTGTCGCCCTTCGGGCTGTCGAAGGTGTTGCTCTGCGAAACGTGCAACAGGCCCTCGAAGTACATGTGCATCTGCTGCAAGAACCAGTATTACTCGTACTTGGGTGCCCACTCGCACGTGCAGAATTACTGCAGGAAACAAAGGTGCGCCGAGCCCACGGGGACGGAATCTCGAAAGAAGCGAGTCTCGGATCGGCTGGCGTTGCGGACGAGCCGAAGAAATTTGCGAAAAAAACGCTCCTTCAAGTTTACCTAGGAGTATTGAGATTTCGCCTCCCTCTTCCTTCTGTGAAAAGTAGTCGAGATATATATATATGTGTGTGTGTGTGTGTGTGTGCTTACATACGTGCACAAGAATTTTCACGCAGGTAACAATGTGCAATAAAATCAATTATTTACTCTTGTACATGACGTCTTCTTGTGTCTTTTTCGCCTCGATTCCCATTTGCAATAATATGATATTTTTGGTACGCTGTGAGTGAAGTTCGACTTCTCGCATCTGTGCGTAGTACGTAAAATAATTGATCCCATCACCTTGTGCAAAGCCATTTTTTTCTCACGAGTGCATGATATTGTTATTTGCAGATTAATGCTGATAAAATATCAAAACATTGAAACTAATCAGACTAACATTACGCGTGAAAAGCAGAAAGGAAAAATAAGTAAAACATCTCATGATGCCGGAAAAACTGTCGGATACTTGAGGTAAATGCTGAAATCTGAGGAAATCTCCAACAATGTAAAACTCTGTGATATTTTTAAAAATCGTCCGAAATGCGGAATGGGATTGACTTTATACGTAAAATTGTTGCGATGCTTGCAAATATGTAAAAAATTATACCAACTGTCTAAATTTTTTTATTGCTCTATTAGCAACTAGAGTTTATTCAAATAAAGAAAAAAAAATCAGTTTTTATGGATGATAAATGATTTTTATTTTTTCATCATTATGAATCAGCTGTTTTGTGCAAAAAATTAGCTAAAAATATCTAAACAAGAAATACGTAAGTTATTGAAAAATACGAATAAAAATTATAATCATTTTGTTGAGTCGAAGTCCATTG